CACAAGCCCCACACTGATTCTCCAGCTCACTAACTTGGTTGGTTAGATGTTAAAATAAGTCCAATGCCCTGAAAGGGCCTTTATTTTATAGCTTGATTTTATCATAACCCTGCAGCTAAGCTTCACGGCTCAGTGCTAATCCATTACTACGCCTGGGAAAACAACTCGAAGAAATGTCTTACCAGGGGCAGATGAGTAGTAGCACCTTCCTTTGCTTATAGGGAAAGGGGCAGAGCACAAGTTGGACCCAGCCAGGGACATTCAGTACAGCGTAATGGTTAAGAATGAGGGCTTTGGAAGGAGACATGCTCCTAGTCGATACTCAATAAATGGTGGCTTTTATCATGGTTATGTTTTTAAGATTTATAAGACAGTGTGGCGCCATGGTTAAGAGCATGGATTTCAGATTCGCATTTCTTGGGTTCAAATCCTGGCTTCGAAGCTTTCTAGGTGTGTGACCTGGACAAGTTACTTAACATCTCTGTGCCTCAGTTTTCTCATCTGTAAAATAGGAGATAATAATGGCAGACCGTAGGATGGCTGTGAGTTAGATTATATGAAGCACTTGAAACAGGTGTTACTTATTTCTACTAACAAGCCAAGCTATTTAATGCCAGTAAAACAAGAAAGATATAATACATATGTATAGTAAGATACATTTATGTCATAGTAATAGATATAAATAAATCTAGTAAGATATAGATGTTAAAATAAGAAACGTGTGTGTGTATGTGCATGTGTGTGCTCACGCATACCTATATTAAGTATAGCAAAGCCAATTGGGTGAAAGAAATGAACATGGTGACTTTTTACCCAGTCAGTCATTGACAAACAATGGAGTTTCATGATGCATTATCTTTAGAGGTTGACCTGGAACAGGACTTGCTGCTTTGCAAGGATCATGAATGTAAATACATTTCTAGCTGAAAGAGCAAATACTATTTGAGCAGTAAGTTTCTTCATAAAACATGTGCCTAGAAATTACACAGGTCAGATTGAATTTCAAACTGAACTAGAACCACTCGTAAAGTCCTAAAGTTATTAATGACATCAGATAACATGTGTGGGTCAAATTTGTGCCTTCCAGGGCCTGATTTCTCTTAGGACCTGGCTCCAGGACAAGCTTATGAGATGAAAAACTACTGGGGTGTCCATGCTGCTCTCTCATGGTTGGTTGGCTGTGCGGCCAAGTGGGAGAGAACAGAGAATCAAGTTTTCCCCCTTTGCTCGCCCTAGGGAGATTCACGTTTATCGTCTCCAAAGCACAGAGAAACAGCATTTAATGCCCCAGGGTTCACAGTCCAAAGATGTCTTGGCTTAAGTTGCATGCCCACCTTCCTGGGTGCAGAAGCCTCATCCAGAACTTCATGCATCTGGTGCCAGAGCATCCTAGCCTAAAGTCCAAAATCCAATATCCTGACCTCTTAAAAGAGAGAGCTACTGTTAAGCCCTGAACACTTAAGTGCTTTTTTGCTTTTTAGCTGTGTTGACTTGAGTCTGTTGCAGTATAATAAAATTTAACAAAAGGGGGAGAATTTCTAATTATCACATTTCATTCAATCCCTCTTTCTCATTCCCTCTGAATAAGGAATTTTTTTCTCTATTTAGATTCCCATAAAGTGAGGATGATACAAAATCACTATGAATCATGAACATTTAAATAAATTTACTCTTTTGGGAGGTCGGCTGTCTCCTTTAGTTAAAGAATATTATTGGTGAGATTGCTTCTCTAGTATCATGTCCCTTCAAGAACTATTAGAAGGAACGGGCATGGAGAGGTGAAGGAGAGAGCAAATCAGGGGACTCTGGGCTGCTTGGGGAGGATTTGGGGTCTGCCATTTGAGGGGTTTCACAGGAGTATTTCAGGGCACAGTTGTTTCTGGGGTTGAGGACTCTTAAAGGGGAACCTGGACCAAATTAAATCTACCAGGTGCAGTCTCAGATGAAATACCCATGAGCTTGGCTTTGTCACTCTCATCTTGAAGCCCTTGCGCTGCAGGCCCAAAGGGATGACGACGTTTGAATGAACAGCCAACCGCCCCCACGGCATATATCTCATTCTCTGTAACACCCATACATAGTTGCCACCCCAAAGACAGTTTCCTCCTCCTTCCCAATTTTGCAGTCTTTCCTGTTTCTTCTCCAAGCCCAGCCAGGGAAGCTTTTTGTTTGGGAGCCAGGAGCTGCTTATTTTGTTCATTCCTATGTCCATAAGCCTAAGAACAGAGTCTGGCATATGCTAGATACTTATCAGTACTGAGTGAATGAATTTATTGAGCCCCTGCTGAGTGTCAGGGGTTGTTAGAGGTGCTAAAAGAGACAGGCATTGGCATCATCTTACAGATGGAAAAATGAAGGAGAAAGTAATTTTTTCAGCCTTTAAAATGGGGGTGGTTTGTGGATTTCCAAACTTCCGGCCTTAGTGTGTTTCAGCACAAAATTACTCATGATTCAACTTTCTCTTTCCTTTTATAAGGAATGGGCCTTTCTAAGAGACTTTTTCTAGGCTGACTTTTTTGTTAGTATTTGCTCTCTGTCTGTTTTTTGGTTCGTTTTGTTTTTGTTTGTGTGTTTGTGTTTTGATTTGGAAAATGAGCATGGCACCAGGGAATCTGCCAAATGGATGCCCAGAAAAGTAGCACTACCTGAGTGTGTTAGTCAGCTAGGGCTGCCATACAAAGCACCACAGACTGGATGGCTTAAACAACAAAATTTGGTTTTTCATGGTTCTGGAGGCTGGAAGTCCCAGATCAAGGTATCGGTTTCTCCTGAGGCCTCTTTCCTTGGCTTGTAGATGGCTGTCTTTTCCCTGTGCCTCTGTGCACATCTGTGTCCTAATCTCTTCTTATAAGGATGCTAATCATAATGGATTAGGGCCCAACCTAATGATCTCATTTAAACTTAATTACCTCTTTAAATACCTTATTTTCAAATGCAGTCACATTCTGAGGTATTGGGGGTTAGGACTTCAATACATGAATTTTAGGGTGGAGACCACTATTCCACCCATAACACTAACCCTGTTTTCACAAAATATGGGGTAATGTCCAGGCCTGTTTTAAAAGGCCTTGTAATGTGGGTATTATAACCATGCAGCAAATTATAGCCGATTTTCTGCTGCCTCTTGCATCCTGCGGCTGCTTCTTTCTGCTCTTATCCTTGGCCCCAGACTGAGATCAGCAAGGTTTTCAGAGCCGGTCACACAGGGATTCAGAAACCCAAGAAGAAGGTTTTGTATCGAGCAAATAAAAGGAATTATCATCCATCTAAGGCTCATTGTTTAAATTACCACGTTTATTTATGTCAACACAAAAAACAATAAAACAACTTACAAAACCCATTTTATCTTCATGTAACATAACTCTTCAGTGAACAGAAGTACTACTGTTAATGTTTTGGCCTTTTCAAGGTCCAGCCTTGGGTCAAAACAGTATTCAGACAAATAGCAAATTCTTCTCTATATACACACAAGAGGAAAACTTATATTTTCTAAAATCTCATTCGAGTAATAACACAAAAATGTCACATGTCGAGGTGAATACTATGGTTGTGTCATCAGAATGGTGATTTCCTTTTTGCTCTAGATTCTCCCCAGACCTTGGGCTTCATTCAGGAAGTTGGAGGCACATGAGCCCTTCAGGTTTCCAAGATGATTGCTTAGTAATTCTTTTAATATAGCTGTGTATTACACAAGTGTTGGATTTACCTGAGTTATTTAGAAACCAGCAAAAAAAGTCTCTAGGTAATCAGTATGCACAGACCTACCTGTAAGACTGATGAAACTTACCATAGAACACTGTGCCAATTCAGTGGATAAACATGAAGCCTCCAATAAGAACGAACTCCTCACATGGTAAAAGACTTCACATTACAATTTACTCAAAGGCAATAAACATGGCACAAAAGTATAAGACTTCACCTGCATCCCAGTAGTCTAAATGCTGTATGTTCAGTCAAGCTAAGGATAGTTACCACTTAACTCACAAAAATCTTTCTGTCATTTCACTGACAAAAGAATCAGCCTCGTGCTGTAGAAAGAAGAAATGGTTTGGAGCTAGAAGATCTAGATTCTGGACCAGTTCTACTTACTCTCTGAACCTTAGTTTCCTTACGAGGGTCAAAGGAGAAGAAAGTGCTTTGTAAAGTAGTGTTTACTATAAAAAATATTATTCTGCAATGTCCATCTCTTCAGTCAATCTATGGATCCCTAATTATCCACCTGTATTTTGCAATAAAATCTTACTTTTTAAAGTAACTATATGATGCATATTTACCATATGCAGCTGAAATGTCAATTATGTTATGCAAGTGGGAAAAGACTATAAGTTCAAAAGCCCATTACTCATAAGGGACTTTTGTACCCTTGATGTGCTTGACTTAAAACCACTTAAAATTGTGTTCCTTTTGTAATATTGGCATTCTTGTTGAAAAAACTAACAATTTAAAGTAATTCTTTAACAAGAAATTAAAACTTTCACATGACAATTACAGGGGTTAGAAGACTGTAAAACTGAGTAAAAAAAGACTGAGAAATACGGAAGAAGCAATAGTTTGAGAACTCAGAATCAGGAGGGGAAACTGAGTGTAGAAGTTTATTTTGGGGTAATTGAAAATCATCTAAATGATAGGCTTGTTATTTTTGTTTTTTACTGGTCATTTCTTAATTTAGAAACTACTTTTTCCTCATCTGTAAAACAAGTAAAACACTTATTTGTGTATCTGGCTTTTAGGTTCAGACAAATCACAGAAATTCACATTTAATTTCATTCTTACATTTGGGACATTTTTAGAGAATTGCATTCTTTCAGCTGAAGTAAAATCAGAATCTCATTTCTCTTAAACTAAAAAAATAAAATTAAATCCTCATTTAGAAAAGGGCACATTTACTAAAAGTTTGGAATAAATTGGCAAGTGTGCTTATGGGATGTGAGCATATGGACTTTGTGACTTTGCTGAGACAAAGACTTCAGGTAGCTGTATTCTGGGAACAAATGAGATTCTAATTTCAAATATTTTTCGAATGCAAATCAGGCCCCCTTGAATCACTTTGATGATTTTTTTGAGGCATTAATGCAATAGACTTAGTACTCCTCAAATGATCCCCAAAGTCACCTCTTTGCTAAGGTATTTCTCTTCTTGATTATTTTGAGCCTGTCAACATAGTCTCTAACCTTCATACAGAGAATGACTGATCTCCAAATGACCTATTATTATCTTAAACAAACCTCATTTTGAAACAACAAAGAAAAAAAAATTAAATAGTGCATTAACATTTCATATCAGTGAAACAGACGTTTTCCATGCACAAAGTAGTTCTATCCATCCGTGGAAAGGTCCACCTTTTGTTTTTCCCTGTGTTTGTAGGTTACATTTTTAAAGGTGCTGGTGGAGCCTCTGTACAGTGGGTTGGTTCCCTAAAATATAAAAAAAGGGTTCACATGAAAGTATGTACATTTTGTTAGTACACTGTTTTAATATATCTAAATAATTTCATTGGACATTACCAATTGGAAGAAGTCAGTCTCAATTTTGAAAACCATTTGAATAGTTTTGATCAATTTGATGTCATGCTTTTAGCATTTTAAAATTTATACATCTTCATTTTATTTTTAAATATGCAGAACTAGTTCTGTATGTGTATTCTAAAGATCTTACCCTTTTTGGAAATGTAATAATTTATTGACAGAAAACAAGACTTTAGCTGTTTTAGTCACTGTTATTTTACCAGTACTGAAAACAGTGCCCAGCCCATAGTAGGTGGTCAGTTATTTATTGAATGAGTAGAGTGAACCAATAGGTGACTCAAAGGTGAAATGTAAAGTAAAAAAAGTAAAAAATGGGAAAAGTGAACTGGTAGAAGCATGCAAAGTTGAATCACACAGTAGTACCTGCCTTTAAGAAACATGTTTCTGGTGAGAGGCATCAAACAAGGGCACAAATAATCTTGCAAAAATGAGATAAAAATTCAGAAAAAGGAGTAACTGGCTGCTTGGGAGAAGCAGTGAAAGACTCCTAGGGTAGTAAACACCTGCTCTAGATATAAAGAAACTAGGTGTGAATCAGAGTCACTGGAGTCTGGTGTTTGCGACACTGGGCTCCTGAAGGAGCACAGGCCCCAAGGCAGGTTGGGCAAGAGAGTTATGCCCTTGGGCAGTGGAGAGGTGTTGCACCAAAGCCTGGATAATTCAGCTGTGCTATTTGGGCTGTAGATGTGTTTCCAGGTGCCATCGCCCAGACCAAACAGTCCAAGGCTCTTTAGGTATTTGGAGAAACGCTAAGCTTGTTCCTTCTATTTCTCTTCTTCAGTTTAGCTATTCCTGGCAGGCACAAGACTTCTGGGTAAGGTACAAGGTTGACCACACAGGCTTTGGTGTCAGACAGCCTGGGGTTAAACCCAACAGCACCATGTGACCTTACTTAAGCCACTCTAAACCTTGGTGTCCTCACCTATAAGAGAGATCACCAAAGTGCCTACCACGTCCACGAGGTAACGTACTTCAGCACAGTGCCTGGCACATAGTCAGTTTTCAATAAATGCTGCCTCTTCTTATTAGCTTGCACTTAAAGCTCCTCTTCATATTTGGAACTTCCTTTTCTTTTATGTCCTGGAGAATGTAATAAAGATATTTCCCCCCAGGGTTTTGGTGCTCTTAACATTTCCAAGCCCATTTCTGGGTATGTATGGAATCTATATATCACCTCAGACCCTCCAAACTACTACATCTTATACTTTGGTCTTCTTATTCCATGAGTTGTAGAGATGGTAGCAATTTCTAGGCATAAATTTGAAAAAATCATGATCATATTGGCTTTCTCAGTACATTTCTCTCAGCTCTTAGAAGACCTGAATAAAATAAAAAATATTCCCTGGCCTCTCCCAGCTGTTACCCTTGGATTCACCACAATGTCTTCATTTTGAGGAGGAATGACCCCTGCACATTTTTCTATGTTGCCCAGAGCCAGTGGCCTGACCTTGGACCGAGTAACATGCCACCTTTGTTCATGCACCTTCGGAGAGAGATGCTATCTCAGTAACGAGGGCGTCCTTGGAGGTGGATGATAACTGAAGGCCAAGTTGGCATATTGTCTCTACTCCTGAGGCCAGCCAGCATAGTCCTGAGGGCCCTCCAGCCCTTATCTAATCCTGCTGCCATAAGGACTTGGGATTTGGAGGGTGAAGGGCATACAGATGTGGTCTTGGATACAGGTAGAGAATTATTTGCAAACAAAAACACATATGGAATTCCATTAAGTTTAAGAGCCTATGTGCTATTAAATTTAAGTTAGCTACAGAAGAATAAGAAACTAATTGAAGAGGAAAAATGGAAAAAGCAAGCAGTGCAGGTTGGGGATAGTGTGGAGGGGCACTGTCTTGGAGAAAGAAGTTGGCTCTGAAATTCAGAGTAAATGGCTGTGAGAAGGGCCAGCTTAGATCTGCGTAGGGCCAGGAACTCCTTTGGGGACTCCATCTCATATCACATCAAACATATTAAAATATACCCCATCCCGCTCTAAATGTCATTTATATGGACTTAAAGGAGGTGGCTTGAGTTGCAATTGACTGATTGATTATACAATGTTATTTTGTAGACATGTAATTGAATGTTTAATTTTGATTGTGTGGTTTTCATTTTGTATTTTGAAGGGACTTCATTTATTCGGGCCTATAATATTTTGGGGGTCTCTTTGCAAAGCTAGTTATAGGGCCTGGGCATGCTAATGGGGGTGATGGATAAGGCAGGCCCCACTGTAACAGGGGGTAAGGTGGGTGCTTAAAGGTGAACGAGCAAGTATATATCAGGGGTGAGGAGAGTGTTTCCTGGCCCTCAGCCCGTGATCAGGACTCAGGAGAATGAGCTCAAACTGGTTTTGTTGACAGTAGGAAGTGTGACAATGTCCGATACTGGCTCCTCTAGTGCCATGCTGGTGACAACCTCACATAGGATTTTCAGCTGAGACAAGGGCTTGTGTCTGGCTCCATTTCAGGTGAGTTTGCGCTCCTTCCCTTTTAGAAAAGGTAGGGTTTCCCTCAGCCATCCAGGGTGACCAGGCTAATTCCCTCAGGCATCTGGGGGTACTAATTTAGGCTGTGGATTCTGCAATTGCAACAGCGCATTTTTAGAGCTTGAAAAAGTGGTAATGAGAAAGCTCTCTGTCATGACCCACAGCTCTCTTAATGATTGCCTAACTGCCAGGCGCAGGCCTGCTTTGCTTCGTACAGTACAGAATCAATCCACGACTGCTAGAAATGTCAGACTGAACATTTTTTGCCTCTAGTTAATGACTTGTCATCTTTGAAAAAATGTCTAATCAAAGGTGAATTTAAATACCTTCCTTTTCTGTTTTCAGAAAGGATGTGGATGTGGGGGGGTTATTTTTTAAAGTAGTAAAAGGTAACCTTTCTTTATGGCTATGATGAAATGTTTCAGGAGGCAAGAATGAAGCTCGTTTTCATCCTGCACTCTGTCACCCTGCGAGTCAGGAGACCCAACTGTCTCTCACATCTCTGGAGGTCCCCTGGGTACTGCAGACCTATCAAATCCGGTTCCTCAAGAAGAAATAGATTTTAGATAAAAAACAGAATCAAATTGAAGACCCCAAAATGGATGCACCGAGCAACATTTTTTTTGGTTAGGGCATATTAGTGAAATTTGAATTGATAAATTATTTGAGTTAAACCTCTATTGCATGCAAGTGAATAATTATTACCCAGTCATTATCTAGTCAAGAACATCAAACATTTATTATTCAAAGAAACTCAGTTTAGCAAGGGAATCACATTGTTCATTCATGCTTTAATCTGTTTAATGCGTATTTTTGTTCCATTTTAGATATAGAAATGGCAAAAATTTAGCATTTGAATTTCAGTCATGTTCTACATCCTGAGGGAAAACAATTCATGTTTGGGGGAAATTAACTGTTAATTAAAATGTTATTTTAAAGATATTAATCATTTGTCAGTAATCATGCTTTTGTATGAGAACATTAAAATGTGCTGGTCGGTAGATACACATCACATAATTGCCAGAGAGCTTGTTTGTGGAACACGTGCTTATTATTTCTAGGAGGGTCAAGGCTGTGCTTGGAAGAAGAAGCTATAATTGGGACTTTGGCTCCACCATGGATCAACAGTTTGGGAAATCTCTTAACTTCTCAGAGCCTCAGTTTCCTTACATTCAAAGTGGGAATATGAAGACAACTTCACAGGGCTGGTAGTTGTTCAACTAACTGCTGCTATTGTTGCTTTTTTTGTTTGTTTATTTGTGTGTTTTTTAATGCCAACTTAACTACATTTTTTTGCATGGTCGCCCTTCTGACCATTGCCAGGGATCTGCTTGACAGTTGGTGAGAGTTACAACAGCTACGGCCAGGGGTCAGGTGAAGTTAACTGCCCCAACACTGTGTTCTAAGTCACCAAACTAACCTGTCAGGTTACGTTTGACCTTGTTAGGGATGGATAAACTTTATACTCAATGCAAATCCACAACTTACTTTCCTAAAGGGTTTTTTTAAATTATAAAACATCCATACATACACAAAAGAAGAGAAAAGCTGTCTAATGAACCTCTATAGACCCATCACTAAGATTCAACAATTATCAAGGTTTTGCCACACTTGCTTCAACTATCCTTCTTTCCCTTTTGGCTGAATGATTTCAAAGCAAATTTCCAGCCTTCATTTCCTTTCATCCCAAAATCTGGATTTTTTTTTTTTTTTTTTTTAAGCAAAGCCATCATGCTATTATTATACCTAATTGAATTAATCACAATATGTTGTTATCATTTTAATACCCAGTCTACATTAACCTTTTTCCAGTTGTCAAAAAATGTATTTTTTGGACTATTCAAATCAGGATCAAAACAAGACCCATACATTGCATTTAGTTATTGTGTCTAAAGGCATCTTTAAGGGGAAAGATAAAGTAGATAAAATGTCCTATTGCCCTTTGTCCTGCACCTTATATTATGATTATTTCAAAATAATTGCATAAGATATAAACATCCATTATCAAGCTAAATTTATCCAAAACAGAAAATTCCATGTGCTTTAGGAACTGAAGATATCACTAAAGACTTAGAGAAAAAAGTGTTAACACCAATTAATCTAGGCAGATGAACCCAAAGGAGCATTGTGTTTGCTTGTATTTTCTCCTGTGATATTACTGTTTTTAGAATCAGCAATGTAAGATAATTGCTATTAGATAGCTGGGTGCACCATTAGAGATAGAGAGATGAAATTAAAACCATGAAATTGTTTCTATGGGCCTCTAGAAATGTAATTATCTCTCCTGTGGAAAAGAAACACAGAAAATTGGAGTCCCGTTTTGTGTTTGCTTACAGTAAAGAAAAGACACATAAATTATATCTACTAAGTACATATATTTAAAGGTTGATACTTTTGTTTTTGTTTTTTCAGGTAGCTGTTTGAAATTTATGTTATTCCGAAAAAGTTGATGATATTTAAAAAACTCTTCTCAACTTTGCTTTGTCACCTATTATGAGTAATGTGTATTTCCATGGTAACTGGCATGAACTGTCTAGTACTCATGAACCTTATGCCATTAACTATAACATAAATGTTTATGGAAATGTTTAGATACAGCACCTATGCTTTATCAAATGGGGACTGAGGGGTCCTCCTGGTGGTGAGAAATAAAATATATGTCCTTGCTATCCCAAAGTAGCTAAATAAGGAGTTTCATGAGACTCTTCAGAGTGGAGGAAATCCCCCCAATGCACTGGGAGACGAATGTATGCTATGAGGACCACCTGGGACCCAATTAATGGACAAATAAAAGAGCTAATGAAATAGCAACTACAGTTTGAAGATCTAAAGACTGTTTCTAGCATAGCAAATGAACCATGGCTGCTTCTAAGAGGTTAACAAGACTCCTGCAAAGAAGGCAGCAGGCACCTGTCAATGAAAATATATACTGGCTACATCTTTGACTACAAAGCAGAACAGAAATCAAAGCTGTTGGGGACATGGTGAGAGTAGTAGAGAAAGAACATGACATTCTAATTCTCTTTTAGAGTAGAAGAAAGCTGACTCCCTATTTCTTCTATAAGACACTTTAACCCCTNATATCGATGGGCCTGGAGAAAATTATGCTGAGTGAAATAAGCCAGGCAGAGAAAGAAAAATATCACATGATCTCCCTTATATGTGGAATCTAAAGAACTTAATAAACTGACGAGCAGAATAGATTCAATGACATGGAAGCATAGTTGAGACTNAGTAAAGAAAAGACACATAAATTATATCTACTAAGTACATATATTTAAAGGTTGATACTTTTGTTTTTGTTTTTTCAGGTAGCTGTTTGAAATTTATGTTATTCCGAAAAAGTTGATGATATTTAAAAAACTCTTCTCAACTTTGCTTTGTCACCTATTATGAGTAATGTGTATTTCCATGGTAACTGGCATGAACTGTCTAGTACTCATGAACCTTATGCCATTAACTATAACATAAATGTTTATGGAAATGTTTAGATACAGCACCTATGCTTTATCAAATGGGGACTGAGGGGTCCTCCTGGTGGTGAGAAATAAAATATATGTCCTTGCTATCCCAAAGTAGCTAAATAAGGAGTTTCATGAGACTCTTCAGAGTGGAGGAAATCCCCCCAATGCACTGGGAGACGAATGTATGCTATGAGGACCACCTGGGACCCAATTAATGGACAAATAAAAGAGCTAATGAAATAGCAACTACAGTTTGAAGATCTAAAGACTGTTTCTAGCATAGCAAATGAACCATGGCTGCTTCTAAGAGGTTAACAAGACTCCTGCAAAGAAGGCAGCAGGCACCTGTCAATGAAAATATATACTGGCTACATCTTTGACTACAAAGCAGAACAGAAATCAAAGCTGTTGGGGACATGGTGAGAGTAGTAGAGAAAGAACATGACATTCTAATTCTCTTTTAGAGTAGAAGAAAGCTGACTCCCTATTTCTTCTATAAGACACTTTAACCCCTACACAAGGAGTAGCGCCTAAGCGTTTACATACAGTTTGCCACTTGGCCTTTGACCTTTCTGCTTCAAATTTGGCAACTTCTTTGCGATCATGAAATGATACAAGCAGCTTCCAAATGCACAGTAGGACAACCCCGATGAGAAGAATAGCCAGTGAGACCCCCAACATAATCATGGGAATGTTTGGAGGTTTTGGACAGTCTATGGAAACCAAAAAAAAATTATATTAATAAGGTGGTACATTTACATTTTTTAAAATTTTATTTTTGTTTAAAATATTACAGATGTCCCTTTTTNATTTAACATTTTGATAAACATTTGTCATTAAGTTTTCCAACTATACTTTTTCTCTAGTAGAGAAAAAGTTTTGCTGAAAAAAATTTTTTTAGTGAGTTACTTGTTGAAGTATAGCTCTAATTCCTTCAAAGTAGAACAGGAGATAAAGAGTGTGATTATTAAAAGCAAATGGATACACACTTGAAAGGCTGACTCAGAGTTAAAATCCAAAAGAGTGAAAATTAGTGCACATGGAATGTTTAAAACTATAGTTTAATCACTAAAGATAGTCTCAGTCTCTTCTGGGCATATGATAAAGCAGAAATGGAGTGTGTGTGTGCGCACACATACACATAATTACTTTTTTATGAATTTTTTTGAAACTAAGAGATTATATTCAAAATTATATAAAACATACCCCCTGAAAAGTTTACTATTTACTGCTGCTGCTTTTCTATTTTTTAATTTTTTAATGCACAGAAGAGAATCATGGCTTTCAGTTTTATTTTAACTCTAATGCCTGATGTCCTGGAAAGTTTTTGGACTGAAGTCAGGGGAGGTGGGTTCAGTTCTTATCTGAAGTACACTACCTATCTAAACCCATCAAGTCCTCCATGTCTCTGAGCCCCAGGCCCCTCATCTGTAAAACAAAGGTGTAGGACTTCAGTGTCCCCTTACCTTCCCTGACAATAAGGTTAAGCCCAAGTGCTCATACTGATTAAACCCACATCTTCCTAGACCTCTCCCCTGGGATTCTGATTCAGTGGGTCTCAGATGCAGCCACAGATTCTTTATTATTATTCTTTATTATTAAAAGTATCCGAAGTGATTGTTGTCATCAGAGAAGTTTGGGAAATTAGATGTTTTGTATAGTCCTTTTAACTTGAACATTCTATGAAATGTTATTTTGACCATTGATGATATTAATGTAATTTTGCAATTATATGGTACCTTCCCTCATTGACAGCAGAATGACTAATAATCCTTGCAATATGCCTGGGACATGATACATTTCTTAATGAAACATTATAATTAAGCTCTCCCCTTGCTTTCATGGGGGGAAAAAATCCCACATAAAAATTATCATTAAATATATGCCTCCCTCTGCAAGAAGTGAGGCAAATCCATGGTATCTGGAGAGGAAATGAATCATGCTTAGTTTATTTTAACTCTTAGTGTTTTTCAATATTTAATAAGGAGAGTTATATACCCAAGACTACTCATGCTACTTTCAAGAATCTATAGCTGATCTGAATTTGAGCAAGACTAATGACCCCCTAGCAGTGCGATGCCTGGCCTCACACATCTTTGTTCTTTGTCCAAAAAACCATGTAAGGAGATTATACAGAAATAAGTAAAGGAGCTAATGAAATAGCAACTACGGTATGAAGATCTAAAGACTGTTTCTAGCATAGCAAATGAACCATGGCTGCTTCTAATACGTTAGCAACACTCCTGCAAAGAAGGCAGCAGGCACCTGTCAATGAGAATATATACTGGCTACATCTTTGACTACAAAATATCTGGGGTGAGGCATAGCATGTTCTTGCTTACAGCAAGATGAAGCTTGCTAAGACCCTGCAGCCAGAATGTGAATTAAGAGGGCTCTCCACTAGGGAACAAAAAAAGGAGGAAAGGCATGGCCTGGTAGAGATAATTATTTTAAGAATTTAGAATCATTGGGAATTATACATTTCTCAAGACTACACCTTAGCTCAAGTAAGTCACACAATAGAAAATCCAGGTCAGTGCTGCACTTAATTCTAAGGGCCTGAGTTTCTAATGCTGCCAGTCTGGTAGGTCTACCACATGTGGCTACTGAACACTAGAAGTGTGACTTTTCCGAATTGGGTTGTGCGATAAATACAAAATACACACTAATTTTGGAGACTTGGTAAAAAAAAAAGTAAACTATCTCTTTAATAAGTTTTTATATTATATTGATTACACAATTAAATGACAATATTTTGGATATAGTGGATTAAATAAAACATTACTAAAATTCATTTCAACTTTTTTTTACTTTTTGATGTGGTTTCTAGAAAATTTTAAATTGTATATGTGATTTGCATTAACATTTCTATTGGACAGTGCTGATCTAATATATTTTGGGTATTTAAATATTTATTATAATCATATAGCCAGTGGGAGGCAGTATAGCACAGTAGTTAAGAGCATGGACTTTAAGCCAGACCTCCAGTTCCAGGACCAGCGCTAGTACATAACTGCTGCAAAACATAGCAAATTATTTAAATTCTCTATGCCTCAATTTCATTACCTGTAAAATGGAAATAATAACAATACGTGTTTTATATCACTGTTGAGGGTATTAAATGAATTAATATATGTAAAGCATCTAGAATAATACCTGGCATACAGTATAAGTAAGGGCTCGATAAATGAGAGCTGCTAATATTATTATTATTATTGTTACAACAAATTCACTCTTCCCCTTTTCTATCCTCAAGACCTCCAGGGCCTGGAACCTCCAACTTGGAAGCCATGGGTGTAACATCCACACCTGCATCCCTGCCAGGAAGGCTCCCCAACTATCATTCTTGACTGGTCCTCAAGATTTTGTGGCTCTTATCCTCTGAAAGTTTTCCAAATGTAAGAAAAAAAGATGAGCAAAGCTCTCCCTACTCCCCCCCCACCCATGGTTTCTTTTTCAATTTGTTTGAAGTTCTTAAGCTCCATCTCCCCCTTTCCCATTTTCCCTCTTTTCTATCCAGGCCTCCCACCAGCTGTCCTAAGTGTCTCTGGTCTTAAAGTGAGAGGGACCTATGGACTCCTGGGGATGGGTTCTACCCTCAGGGCTCTGGGAGCTCTGGCTTAGCTAGAAAGGCCCACATTTGCTAGGAAAGCAGCCTCCTAGGAGCTGTCAGTTGACTCCTGGTAAGCCTTAGGAAGGTGACATTTCCCTGCTACAAAAGCACAGAGAGAATAAAATGCCTTAAAGGCATCAGGGCACCTGAGTGCTCTTGGAAGGATGGCATGTTGATGTCCCACTCCTACTGTGTGGGAGAACAAAGGAAAAACCCAACAGTTCAGTAATGAGGCATTTTATCAGCCAAAGGCATGTTTCTCTCTCTCTCTCTCTCTCTCTCTCTCTCTCTCTCTCTCTTTCTTTCTCTCTCTCACACACACACACACCAATAAATGAAATAAAATAAAAATAAAACCAACTATCTACAAAAGCCCCCGAATTAAAGACAGACCCTTTTCTGGAAGTTTGTTTTTGTTTGGAACTTGTTTTTCTAATGGAATTAATATCATAAGGAATGGTTTTGATTTCAGAAAAATGTGCTAAAGCCCCTGCCATGGTCACAAACAGAGGGTTGAGGGTCTGGTTGAAGAATTTGACTTTATAAAACAGACAATGACAAAATTACTGTACTTTTTCCTAATAAAATAGGATTCACCTTAACTTTCCTTAACTAATGGCCTCTATGATGCATTTTACATATTCATTTCAAATGAGATTCTCAAGAACAAGTCTCCAGGTGCACTCTGCCCACCTGAACTTCAAGGTCACGGTCAGAATCATAGCCTCACATTTCGTATTGTGCACACCTTTACCTCTCCCTGCCCCTTAGCACTGCAATGTGATATTTTCCTAATCATCTTCTCTTGGTTGGTTTACGATGTCTTGAACTTACTTTTTGGTTACTTTGGAATAATTGCTTTGGTGTTTACACTCTGAAGTGAAGGCGGTTTGATACTCCTGGTTTCAAATTCAGGACTTAATATTTTGTCAGCACATTGATGAGCAAGCACACACAGCAAAACACACGTGCCTTCCAGCCTGCCCTCCCTGCTGTTGTCTGGGGCAGGACTTGGGTTCCAAGCTTTGTGGGGGAGGCGGAGGAGGTTGCTGATAAGGTCTGGAAAGGTCTGATTTAAGGCAGCTGTCATTTCTGCTGGAAAGTTTTAGGGACACATTCTTAGTTGAAGGCAGAAAAGGTGAAGCACCTGTGCCTAAGAATGTGGCCAGGGCCTCTCAATGGAGGCCTTGAAGCATCTCTATCAGAGCTGCCGGGCCACACATCAGGCCTGCTGATTCAGGACGCAGGCATTTAACATGCTCCCCAGGGGAGTCTGATAGTCACAAAAATTTAAGAACTTCTCAACAAAACTACCTTTCCCACTATTCTATTTTTTCTATATAAACTTCTAAAATAAACTTCTCTCTCCTCTTCACTGAAGACACGATTTTTATCTGAGGGCTTCCCGATTCCCAAGCTGACTCCCGGAGCAGGCATGGATGCAAAGCCACAGAAGCAATGGACTCAGATCACCTCCCTCCTCACTTCCTGCTTCATGTCTTTTTGATTCAGTGTTATCATTTACAGTGACCCATGACTGTAGGTTATGAACTGCTACATGTTTTATATGCATCATTCCATTTAATCCCTGAGTCAATCCTTAAAAGAAAGTATTATTATTTTTCCCATTTTTACAGATAAGGAAATAGAGGCCCAGAGAGGCAAATATCTTCCAGCACGTCAAGCAGCTATTAAGTGGTAGAGCAGGGTTAGAACCAAGATTCGCCTGATTCAAAACTCAGCCTCGTAGACTGCTATGCTCCCTCTGGTTTGTCTTTCCTAAATATACACCTTTTGCTTACATTTCATTTAACCTATCTACAACTCAACAGCCAGCTTTCTGGGAGAAGATGATTAGTACAAATACACTCATCTGGTCTTAATAAGAGATATGGAAACATATCGAACATTTCAGTCATTGGGAGAGTAGAGGCACTTCATCAACAATTTGGAAATGTCTTTCCTGGCAAGCTACCCAAAGTGTCTCCCTGGTTGTTTTCTTCTCTCCCATGTAGTATCACTCACCACTGACAATGGAAGGCATGCCGCTCACCTTTCTCGTTGATGCTATGAATGATGGTTTTCCCTTCGTTGTCTGTAGTTATTAGGAATGTAATAAGACATTCATTTTCTCCTTGTAGAGAACAGGAAACAGAACTATCCTTTGAGAAATCTGCAGATAAAGGAGTCATTCATTAGGCTAGATGAGTTTCCAAAAGAGATTATTTTTAAATCAAAGTAGTATTGAGTTTTCATATGCAAATAGGAAATTTCGACATTGCAGAATAAGAATAGAAAAGACATGAGATTTTTCCCATGAATTGAGGTTTTAGTTTCTACTCATGTTCCAGAAGAATAGTTCCAGGTGTGGTCAATCAGGACTGACCATCAAATGCACCTATCAAACTGATGGGGGCAGGATTTCAACAGAGCAAAAGTACTTCAAGGCACGTATGCCTCACTGTTTTGGGAATAGAATGGCCCTGATTATGGTAAAGAGGGGGCTATATGTTCTTCTTGGCTTCGAGCATCTGGGAGGAAGCCTAGGTTACGTTTCAGAAAGAGACTACAAAGTCTAAACTGATATTGATACTTCCAAGGGGGGGCCTTTCCCACAATGCCATAGGCAAGATTGCTGGCCATACCTAGTCTCAATAATAAATATAAATTAATATTGGGAAATGGACACTGAAGTGTTATGTAGCTCAGGGACCAGCAGGATAAAGGTAAACCCCAGATAAAATGAACCAGGATGACAGTTTGCCTGACCATTCAGCATAGCCCCTTTTTAACTAAAAAATAAATAAATCCAGTTTTCCTCAAATCTTTTCCAAATAGAAATTATTTTCTTGTTGAGCTTATTTAAGAGACAGAAAATGAATGTCATATTAGAAATTGAAAATACAGTAAAATGGTCAGTCTGAGTTGTTAATACTATTTATCAGAGATTCTAGTAGGCTGCCATCTATGCCAAGATTATATAGCATTTTCCTAATTGAAAAACAACTTGCTTAACATTCTCCTATCTCATAAGTTGGAGACTTTTTAAAGATACAGTCATAAGCACTTTTACAGAAACCTGTAAATAGCATGACTTTATTAACCTAAAATTTTAAGACATATACAATCTAAGTGTACTATGACACAGTGGGTCAGAATATTAAAACTGGGACTGTCCCAGATAATCTTGAACAAACTCTTGCTAGACCTATAACTTTTCTTATTAGCTTAAATATAAAAATAATATAATGTAGTATATAAAATATAATAAAACAATCTATATGTGTTGCTCTGACTCTAACAAAGAAAAATTAATAGGCTGTTTTGGGTTCAACAATGCCATAGCCATAGAAAGACAGAAATATTAAGTTTTTTTGCATTTAATCTCTAAGATAAAAATGTCACATCAGGGTCTGTGTGAAGTATGCCTGTGTTATCTATGAAAATGGGGACTAGTAAAACTTTTAGTATTATTAGTAGGATTTCAGATGATAGATTTAAGTGGTTTTGAATCCATTAGATGCATCTGTGTGCATAGGTATATTAAGAAATCTGATTATAAACCATTCTCATTTGTTCGTTCCCAAATGTTTACGATTATCTAAATAACCCGGGAGCTCTGAAAACGCACTTCAGGGGCCCACCCCTGGGCATTCTCATTTGAGAGGTCAGTGCTATGCGCAGGCGTTTGCATTTTGGTGAATTGTTTGATAGTATTTTTAATAAGGTGGTTCTAATTAAGAGGCTTGGGAACCTCCAGGCAACCTCTGATTAATGAAATTTGTGTTATTTCACGTTTGATAGCAACTGCATATATATAATTCATACTTTGGTTATTCTTAGATGGCCTTGGACACACGCCCTGCTGCCACACACCCCAGTGAACAGGACTCATCAGGTCCTGGGGACATGCCTGCTGTTGGACGGTTTTTCGCCTTCCCTCCCTCTCTCCACCATGACAGCGCACACCCACTCTGTTCCTCTCGAGCTTACTTAATGGAACATTTTTTCCTCAGGTAGAAAATATGTGGATAGCTTATAATACTCCTTTCAGTAATATTAATCCTGCTTTTTTATTTTCTTTTAAATAGCTACACTGAAGCACAGGGAGGCTTAATTTACTTGGCCAGGATTATTTAAGTTTTAATGGAACTGCTAATATGACCTTTGAGTCACGACTCCCTTCTTGCTTTAATTACTTCACCACTGCTTTTCATGACGGTTATGACTCTAGACTTGGCCTGTTTCACAGTGTTTGGGTATTAAAATGGTATTATTGAATGAGCAATGAAAGGGTCCAGCTTGGGCTGGAGATTTGCATAATTAGCTGCTAAGGTTTTCTTTTGTTGTTCATAAGAAATGGACCTTTCTTTTTCACCCACCTTTACGAGTGCCAGCAGTGCTGTGCTAGAATAACGCAAGGAAAATAAGATCTCAGGCAGTCCATGAAATCATACTTAGAAAGGTAGGAAATTTGAGAATGGGAGTGAGGAGGCCCGGTCTAGGAAGGCCCAGGAAAAATGTGGAAAATATAAACCGTCTGGATCACTGAATCAAGATAACTATGTGTTTAAGACCTCTGCTCCAGGGCCAAGTCAGTAGTTCTCAGAGAAAACGTTTTCCCAAGGAGAAAAAAGGGTTCTGTGGTCGAATAAGTCTGCGTACTTAGAAAACAGTGTATTTAAATATAGCAACTTCCTTTTGCCTCTCCTGAAAATTTGCAACGCACATTTAACTTAATGTGCATAGAAACCCTAAGGAGTCCTTTAAGAAAGCAAAAGGCTTAGCTTCCCATTTCCAAAATTTATATGACTATGGGTGGTTTTTCCCTTTTAACACTTTTAGTGTCCCATGGAATACACTTTGAGCAACAATGCTCTGAGTACATGAATTTTGGGGTCAATGAACAATGTCTCTTTCAGTAAAATGGACTGAATAAAGTTAAACCACATGTCCTTAGAAATGCTCACACAAGTCACCACAACACAGGTGGGGAACAATTTACTTGGATTATAGAGTTATACTTATTTTAATTTCCATGTCCTTGTTGGGGAAGGGTGGGCTGATAAAAGACCCTGTGGGAGAGCAACTATGTTGTGATAATTTCAAGGTGACATGATCAATAACACAACTGGTGAGTAACTTGAACTAGGACTTATAAACAGGCTCATTAGAAAAGTAACTTTTTAATCCACAGGCTGACAAATATATATTTTTCTCAAATTCATCAAAATTAGTGCTTTTAGATGATATTAGTGATCCAATTATTATTTTTAATTTCTGAGTTAGAAATAGTTGCATTACCGTTTTTGAAGATAATTTAGCCAATTACACACAAAAAAAATAATGCAAATATTTTAAATGCCACTTTTGAGACCCAGTCTTCCTCTCAAATCCAAGCATTTGTGATAATGTACTTAGAAAACTGTGTATTTAAATACGGTAACTCCCTGTTCATGATTTCCATGTTTCCAAGTCCACTCCCTTTTGTCCTTCAGCACATTAGATTTCCCAGGCTGCTACTGAATTAGTTTCTAATAATTTGCAGGGCATTTCCTGCAATTTTTAGTCATTTCTTGGAAACGTTTGGTAAATATCCTAGATGTTTGCTGAGAAATGAAGCCAGAGGGATATGCTGAGGCTTTGAACTAGTTACTAATATCACCAGTCCACAAATGCCACTTTCCTCAGTGCTTTTATGGTGTGTTACCTTCGGTATTGGTGTAAGGTATACACCATTTTGTCCAATTTATGGTTATTTGGCATATTTTTCTGTAGTCACCAGAAAACACAGATGAGGGGTTTTATGAGCACTAACCATGCCCCTCTATATAGGGTTATTCAGAAATTTCAAGTTTGAAACAACGTAGATAATTTTCAAAACAATATAAATGTCACTAACTTATTCCTCCTTGGAAATGGATTAATTTTAGTATTCTCATTCCATCTATTCAAGACACATACCCTAGAGTGTCATGACTTATTGTCCTGATTATGCTACTTCGCCTGAGATACCTCTTGGTCACGGCTCTAAAGCATGCAGAGCGTGATAACGCAGAGAGGTTCCGATGATGGAAAAGCCAACTCCCCCAGATTGTCCCTTTAGGAGGACGCAGTCACCTTCTTTGTTTTAATGTTCACAAAGTATTTTTTTAAATGGCCTTTCCAGCTAAAATACAATCTATTTAAATATTTGAGATGTCCACTTGCCATTAGGAAAAATCTAATTTTAAGTAATTACATTTCAAAATGACAGGTGAAAACAAGAGCAGGCTTTGCTAAGCAGCTAAGGGTAACAGGCCCTTCTCGTATTTTGAGGGTGAGGCAACGGGGACTTAAGGATGGTCGTGAAGTGCCCGCGTTTGGAAAGTTGGGAGTAAAAGCATACAGAGGGGAAGGGAGGAAAAATGACCACTAACCAGAAACTGCCAAGTGTCTGAGGGCTGCTATCAGGACGCCCATATTATACCTTTCTTAGTCCCATTTTGAAATAAGGCAATCAGATGATAGAGGACAATTTTAGGCTCTGGAGTTAACATCTAGGTATTTCTTCAATTTCCTTCTTTCCAATTCAAACAATATAGCATTCTGGAGTTCTCTGCAGTTGTATTTGTTAAGCAGAGCTGAACTTGCCAGCAGAGCTGAAGTCAGACAGAATAGCCATGACTTTAAACCTGTTACACCCCCAGCCATCAGGGTTTTAGCCTTACAGAATGCATTGCCCCTTAACAACTAGGATGAGGGCACTAATGCCCTGGTATGAATGAAGTCAAGCCACTGGAAAGCCTGTTGTAGAGTTTATGCCTCTCAGGAACTAAGCAAAGAAAAGGAAGGAAATCAATTTAGGACAAGTAGAACCTGCTTCTTCATTGATGGTCACGCCAGCGAGTTTGCATTTGTCAACACATTCTTCTCGGGCCTGGTCATCTGCAGACAGGTGGCATTCAATGCAGCTCCTGTGAACATTATTCAAAAGAGTTTATCAGTTTATGTTGGCACCTGGGATGTTGCTTTACTGCTGTTACTGTGGTTTGTGCTGTAGGAGCGTCTCATAGAGGATGGTGCCTTTTGTTACTTTCAGAAGATGGTTCCAAGAGGAAACTGCTTTATTCTGAATTCTACTCAGTGGCCAATGTTCCCTGAGCCAGTCTTGATAATAGCTACTATCCTAACTTATCTCTAATGATTGCTTAAGTTACCAAAGAAAAGCCAACACAAAAACTCCCAATTATTTTGTTATTTGATTTAGCTACATTTTCCTGGGAAGGGTTTATGCTACTGAAATATAGAGAGTAGACAAAGTTTGAATTTCTTAACATAAATGGTCTGTATTTTAACAAGAATTCATATATGTCATGAATGACTATTTTAAAGATTCACTTTTCCATAACTCTTTTGAATGAATCCAAGCCTTGATAGGGATATTTTCAAATGGTGAGGATTACAGCCCAGATCCTCATTATGCAGGGTTTTTAAATAAAAGACTGCTACTTATAGAAAAGTGTATTTCCAAAAAGCACAGCCCAAGAGTTAAGCTATTGTAATGATGTCTATATAGCAAAGTAAATCTTAGACCCTGAATCTATCTTGTGCTGAAAATCACTACAAACAGGTTGTGTTTGAAGTAACCCCAAACAGCAGACACTTTCTTACTAAAGGCATGCACCATGGTGCCCCTCTCTTCCCTGGCCATGGGAATGTACATTCTTCTGAATGCTGGGAACATTCCCCACAGCACCCCTGCATTCTCACACCTCAGTTGAAACCTCACTTCCTCAGGTAGCCTTCCATGGCCTTTACCAGTTAGTTTCCTTGCAGAGGAAGCCTCCGAGTTCCTCTGAAGGAAAGTCTTAAGAGCAGCGATCTGTGTGGGAGTGGAGATAGAAGTCTTTTCTGAAAGTTTCCTTGTGTTGCATGCATATTGCATTTATCCATGTTATATATTTATTTGGAGTGGCTTTGCAGGAGGCTGCTGGAGACTGTGGAAACCCTTAGAACCTCTGCCCTTTTGTGCATCTCACTGATGGCTGCCCAAGCTAGTCTGGTGGCCGTATCCCCTGCCATGCATATAGTTCTTGCCATATAGCACCTTAGATATCTCCTGTTCTGTCAACCCAGGTATCATCATAATTACTTTTGTTTCTTTAAATTTTATTTTTCAATTACAGTTTACATACAATATTATTTTTGTTAGTTTTAGATGTACAGCATAGTGGTTAGACAATCATATACTTTTATAAAGTGTTCCCCCTGGAATTTCCAACACCCTCATCATAATTATTTTTAAAAATATCCGTCTTGCCCTGGCCAGTGTGGATCAGTGGTTAGAGCGCCAGCCCTCGCACTGAAGGGTTGTGGGCTGGATTACCGGTCAAGGGCATGTACCTGGGTTGCAGGTTCAATCCCTGGCTCCAGTCCGGGCACGTGCGGGAGGCAACCAATCAATGTGTCTCTCTCACATCGATGTTTCTCTCTCTTTCTTTCTCTCCCCACCTCCCTTCCACTTGCAATGGAAAAAATATCCTCAGGTGAGGATTTACAACAATAACAAAAATCTGTCTTTCCCACCAGATTCTCAGCACCTGTCATGGTAGGAACTGCAACAGTTTCAGTCATCACTGAATGCCCATGGCCTAACATGATTTCTGGCACAGAGTAGGTACTTAATACCTACTTAATAAACAAATGTATGAATGAATAAATGGAAGAATGGACTCATCTTAAAACTAACGTAAATACCACAAAGATCACTCTGATTCCTCAAATTTAATCTACTTTGACTATTAATTTCTTATCAAACAGATTTAAGATTGAATCATATTTACAGAGAAGAACAAATAGAAAAATAATAGAAGAAAAGTCTTAAAAGGACATCGTACTTTAAATTCTATTCAAATAAGTTTATGTTCCCATCCTTCTCTTGGCATATGTCCAGGCACAGTGACAGAGAAGTTTTAACACCTGAGGTGAATATCATTGAGTGAATATTGATTTTCTTACTTTGTTTACATTGGAAATGCAAATGCCACCATTAGAGTTACCAGAGTTAATGAAAATATGAGCTGTTTAAGCATGTTTGCTGCAAAATACATCATGCACTACAATGTCATAACACAGCCAAGTTGGAGGCTTGTTTCACTTAACCTACAAATGTTGTCTCACTTCCATTAAGAAGTTAGGTGCCCTCCCTGGCTGGTGTGGCTCAGTTGGGCATCATCTCCTGCATGGGAAGATTGCTGATTCAATTCCTAGTCCAGATGCATGCCCAGGTTTTGGGTTCAATCCCTGGTAGGGGATATGCTGGAGGCAGCCAATCGATGTTTCTCTATCTCCCTCTCCCTCCCTCTCTAAAGAAAGTAATCAATAAAAATATCTAAAAAAAAAAAAAAAAAGCTGCCAACCAAAGAAATAATGTCTTTAGTGGAAAATAAGAAAATGTGTTTTGTTTTTGTTGTTGTTGTTCATATGATATAAAAAAAAAAAATACAATACCCAATAGTTGTGCAGAATGACAACCAAAGGAAGGGGCCAAAGAGCATGAGTGGCAAAGAAGGAAGAAATTGAAAGCCAAGATTGTGTTTCTGCCTCTTTGCCTCCAGGGGTCTACAGATAAAAATGAATCAGTAAGGTCAGGCTATGAACTTCCAGATAAGAAAGAAGCTTATCTGTTTCCCTTGAAAAAGTACTGAATGCAGGTGTCATCAGTGTACCCCCAGGGCATTCCTTGTGTGTGGCTAGCATAGTAACTGAGAGGTGATCTGATGTTATCAGTGCGGGACATCAGCTCAGTTTCCCGGCTAGTCTCTGGCAGAAACGTGACTTTGTGGTCCTGGATAATCAGGGCTGAGAAAAAGGCAAGCGGAGGCCTGGCATCCCAGGCTGACGACCACAGGGGCCTTACGGGTTTGTGTGTTTCGATGGATACTTGGAGAGTAAGCCCAGCGAAAACAATCAGACCTCAGTCTGAGTTTATAAAATGTCACTATAACTTTGATCATCAAGAAATATCTGGACAAAAGGGACTGAAGAAAGTAGAGACATTACCGCTTAGAGTTACAGAGATCGCCACAGGTGGGACAACGTTCACAGGTCGGTCCCGAGGCTCCGGGATGCGTGCAAATGCACTTGCCACACACACAGTCCCCTCGCCCGCTGCAGAGCACCCCAGTGTCCTCAGAGATGCAGGAGTCCGTACTGGTTGTGCAGTTACAGTACTCGCCAGTCCAGCCACTCCTGCACATGCATTCGCCACAGTCACAGTCGCCGTTATCTGTAAAACAAACGCTCTGTGTTGCTTAGGGTCAAAACCACTTTCAGATTTTTGGGACCATCTTTTCTGTTTATCTTTAAACACAGTCAAAAAGACAGAAGAAAAAAATGAGAATAAAGTGAGTGTGTGGGGAGTGGGAAGGGAGTGAGTGTAGATATATTTTATGAAATACATTTTACTAACTATATATATTTATTGATCTGGTCTCTTATCTGAAGACCAACTAGATTATCTGATGTTATATCAAAGAGAATTCATAGCCAGATGAAAGGAGATAATTGCTTTTACAATATTTCTCTTTAGATTAAGGTGTCATAGCATGAGATACAAGACAGACCTGGATAATTCCCCATCTCTACAACACTGTCTCAATGATCACGAAAACCTCATCTATAAAACAGAATAAGATCTACTTCCAATGAGACAATGTGTTGATCTCTTGGCTCTGCATTCACTCATTAGATGTCCTACACACAGATAGTAAGTGCTCAACAAATTCATTTATTTGACAAACTTTACCTGAGCATATAGCATGTGCTGAAGATTGTATTAGGCGTGAAAATACAAAATTAAATAAGACAAGGTCGCTGAGCTTATAGTCTAGTGTTAGGACACGGGCAAATAAATGTTACTACTAATAAATACAATACAATGTAACCATCATTATACTCACAGGGAAAGAGTTTCCAAATTAGACTAGAGATTTGGGGACATTTCTAGAGGAAGTGATGCTTGAGCTGAGTTTGGAAGATAAAGATAGAAGGCAGAAGAGGATTTTATGCATCTTAAGCAGAGAAAAAGCATAGGTTAACACCAGAAGTGTGTAATAGTGTGACCTGCTTAGTACCCACAGTAGTTTTTTATGAATAGAGCCAAGGGTGTGGAAGAAGGGGAGGTGGGAAAGGTCTGCAAAACGTGAGAAATCACATCATTAAAAGCTTTATGGACTCAAGTAAAAACTTTTTTCTTGAAAGTTATGGAATTTTAAGTAAGGAGGAGACCTGAATAGATAAATGTGTGTCTAGAAATGCCCTGGCATCAGTAGAGAGGGTCAAACTTGCAACAGGAAAATGAATTAGAAAGTATGAGGCCCTGTGTCTTTGGGAATGGAGAGGAAAGGGTATGCAATCAGGGCATGGATTGCTCAGGGTGTGGGTGCAATTGGTGCTGGGTTGAAGGGGAGGGGAAGCGATAGAGGGATAGAGTCCTCCCTGGGTGAGCAGACTGGGCCTCTAGCTGGATTGTGTGGCTTTTCGCTGACGTGGAATGGAAGCTGGCTCAGGCTCTGTCCCCTCCCCTGCACCTGGCATAGACTAGGGTTTCATTATTGAATGAATAGATTGTTCTGAAGCAGAGGAGGAGGAGGAGCTTTGAGTGGGGACAAAGCAAGTTCATTTTTGGTTCTGTTGAGTTTGAGGGACCTGTGGGACATCCTAGTAGGCAACTGAATACAGTTGACCCTTGTAAGCAGCTGAATGCAGTTGACCCTTGAACAACATGGGGGTGGGGGTTAAGGGTGCCAACACACCTCTCACAAAGTCAAAGTGTGCATATATAACTTTTGACTCCCAAAAAACTTAATTACTAATAGCTTACTGTTGACTAGAAAGAACCCTTACTGATAGCGTAAGCAGTCATTCAATACGTATTGTGTATATTATATGTATGAAAATCACAGGAAAGAGAATATACATTTAGAGTATTTACGGAAAAAAGCCCACCCACATATAAGTGGACTGACGCACTTATATGTTGTCTAAGGGCCAGCTGTATGTATGAGTATGGACCTGAAGCTTGCAGTGGGGAACCCATTAAAGACAGATGGCAGTTGAAGTTGTTGTGAATCAGGTCATCTAGGGGAAGCAGAGTGAGATAATCCGTGCAGAGCATCAGAATTTAAAATATGATCAGAGAAAAGGATCCTTTCAGAAGGGCCTGGGATGGAGGAGGGGAGTGAGAGGATGTTGCAGAAGCCTAGGGCAGAGACGGCTTGAGGAAGGAGGCTGGAGACTTGCTACAGGCAAGCAGCCCTTCCAGTCTTGAAAACTCCTTTTGATTCTGGCCACATAATACTGTATAAAATACTATGAAATAAAGTGTTTAATGTAATAACGCTTGTGTGTTCTTTTCATAATATGTTTTCTGGGTGCCTACCATGCTGACCTGGCCTTAAGCTTAAGAAATATGAAGTAGGAAATCATAGAACAAAGGAGATAGCTACAAAGATTTCTAAGTTGGATTCTGATATATGCATAAATATATGTACACACTAAAAAGCATATGTCTCTAATGAACAATAAGAGTTAAAATTTATATATATATATTAGCATATATATAGATATATATATACACTAAAAAGACATACACCTCTCTAATGAAAGATTAAGAGTTGAAATTTATCTGGATCCATGACATCAAGACATATTCCAACTGCATTTCATAACCTATTTAATTCATAATTGAACTAATTAACTCAAAGCTAAGAATAGTTAGGTGATTTAGGCCAAGCCATTAGTTTAATTTTATATGTAAGTTATCCTCAAAACTACAGTTGCTTTTTTGTTTCTTCTTCAACACAAGAAGAAATTTACTTTCATGATAAGGAGAGATTTCTATAGTGAAGATTATCCTGAAAAATTAATACAATTTATAAATATTGTGAAGTGAAATGTGCTTCTCCAAAGGCTTTGGGAATGCCCCAGTGTAAGAATTGGTTGGCAGAGATTTAGAAAACCTCAAATACCTGTTCATACCACAACCACCACAAAACCTCTGCAATGGCTTCATGTAGAAGCACGCTGATAACCAAAAATCAAGAAAAAATTATCAGGCTTTTTTCAGAGGAATGGGTCTTTCTAGAATGTTGTTGACTGATAACTGTAAATGCATAACAGCAGGAAGTTTTTTTACTGTAATACCATTTAGAGTTTCCAAACTCTTAGAATCAAAATAAAAAAGACTAATGGAATTTGGGCAAGAAAAAAAAAAATCAATAGAGTTCTGCATCTGTGAGTGCTTACAGATGGATGGAAAGGGGCTTGAGAAAGAACATTGTGATAATAGCCCTTCAGAGAAGCGGCACATTGCAAAGTATATCAGTTGTAAAGTAGGTGAGGTCTACACAAGAAGTGAAACTGTAGCATATTCAGGGCTCTGTTGGAGACCACAGAATGTCCATTCACAAGGCCAGGCACATAACAGGTACTCCATAACTATTTGTTGAATTTGAATAATTGTACTTAGTTTTAGTATACCTTTTGATAAGGGAAATTACTAATAAGAGAAGAATATCCTTTGTGATGTTACTGAAAACAAAATAGCTTTTGAGAAACAGTAAAGTTTGAGTATTGTAAATTACCCCAAAGTATGAAGCCAGTTGGCATTGGTGAAGTTCTCTGAGTCCATCTGAAGAAATAATTGTATTTTCTAAATAGAATTTCTTTAGCAATCACTGTATCTGATACAAAGAGAGGGACTGTTGTCACACCTTGTGAACTACAATGCACGAACTACAATGCACAGATCAAGCCAAATGTCTTTGAGTTTGTTTCTGTTTGCATGCATGATACAAAACAAAATGAAAGACCATCGAGACATTGAAAGAACCGTGTTGCTGAACACAGTTCAGCAATTATTGCTGCCCTAGATCTCTTTGAGCTAAGATTAAAGGGTGAAATATAGGTGGGGTTAGTATTGCTATTATATTGTATTAGATTACACTTAATGATTTTTTGAAAGGTAATTTCAAATGTTTTGAGCACATCTTTTATCAAAAGATTTCTATTAGGAATGCAATCTGGGGTTCTACTGAAAATACTTCCAAGACGTGGTGATGGTCTTTGGCTTTAGAGTGTGTCCTGTGTGCATCTTGTGAAAAGAAGACTGATGTGGGTTTGGAAACATTAAATAGGGAAATATACTTCTCAATGAAAAGAGAGAGAAATGTGTCTCAATCTAGACAGACCCTAAATTTTTCAGTCTCTGGGGGGAAGAAAGAAGGCAGCCTCAGAAGAACCTATTGCTAGCCAGAGCAGCAGCAAAGAAATGAAACGTAGGTATACTTCTAAGGGTATCAAATGGTTTTCAAAGAGCTTGGACTTCTTTGAGGCTTCTTTTTCTCAGGCCTTTTTTCCTGAAAATCAGTCTCTTTTATATGTTCCTGACACTGTGGTTTTGAAAACATAACTTGCTTAGTTTTCTCTAAAGATAATGGCTTTCTGTTTGGAAAAGCTGCCTGCTCAGACAATGCGAAAAGGGGAGACATGAGAGCTTAAATTTGGCAGTTACTATTTCAATCGTAACACAAATTTATATCATTTTAAAGTATATTGACACATTTGTAATTCTTATCTTAATAGGTTATACTTAAATATATGTATATATATCAGAATGATTTATAGTAGTCATGTTACATGCTGTATAATATATTCTCAAAGTGATTTTTCATCTACAAAGAATATTAAAACATAAATATTTCTGCTATTTTAAAATTTTCCTCAATTTCAAAAAATTCTACAATTTTCATTTTTACCTTATCATGATCTTCTTTACATATGTGCTTATTCATCTTCATTATACCCAGTTTCTAACTTAGTATCCATCACATAATAGATGTTTAATAAATATTTGTGAAAGTGAATGAAAACCCTAAAAGTTCATTTAGTTTTTTTGTGTCCTTTGTCGTTGGCATTATGCTCCTTAAGCAGCCTTGCTTTTAATTTTCCCAAACTAATATTTAAGAGTTGGGTCAGATGCCTAGCAGCCGAGTCCTGAAAAGTCTGGAAGATAATGGAGTTGAAATTACATGAAGTTTTGTGGAGCCTACATAATAACCAAAGGGAAAGCAGTTCCATCTTTTACCTACTTGCTCATAGGGAAATAATAATAGAGACACAAATTGAGAAGGCAGAGATCTCACTTCAAATGAAGGTAAGAGCCAGAAAAAAATACAAGAAAAGATCACTACCTTAGGTCTAAAGATGAACCCACTCAGTTGATCGGCAAATATTTATTGAGCACCTACTATGCCCAGGCAACTGTGGAAGGTTCAGAGGATGAAGAGCCCCTTGATACTTGCTCGGCCGCAGGGTAAGGTGGATTTAGACATAGCCTACCTCCGCAGAGCAGCCCTTTGTGTCTCACGCAGGAGAAATTGTCACACTGGCAGTAAGGCCCGTAAATGTTTCCATAGGGAGACAAGTGGCAGATGCACTGCCCACAGTAGCAGTCGCCTCTTCCACTGCACGAGGGGTGGTCCGGGGCCTCCTTGCAGGACTCTGTGTTCGTCACGTCCTCCCCGCACTCGCAGCGAGGCCCCATGTGGCCGGGGTTGCAGGCACACACCCCACACTGGAAGGAGCCGTTCCCGTTGTGGCATTTGGAGCTGTTCACTTCCACTTCTTTCTGACAGTCACAGTTGCACTCTGGAGTGACCAGCATTTCTAGGGTGTCCCCCAGCCCCACAGGCTTTATGATAATGTGCCGGCTTCTCTCGCAGTTTGGTATGCTCACAGTCACGTTGAATGAAGCCTGGAAAAGAAAATACTAATTATCTCCTTCTATCCACCAAAATGCATGGGAGGAAACAAAGCCACCTGGGGATCAGTTTTGCCAAAAGCATTTATCAGGAAATCTTTGAAAATCGTTTTTAAAATTCGCGAAAGGAAAAGTCTAGCTTCAGTGCATTAAGGTAACTTCCAACTTGTGTGAATATTTTTTCCGACCACCTTTTGGCCACCTACTTACCGTGTCCCCCACCTTCATGTGCGAGCATTTTTTCTGGTGTGGGAAGGTCCTGTTGCTACAGATAGCTGTGAACGACAGGTTGAGTCCTTCTGTGTCTCCTAACACTTCCAGTTCCACCTCAGACCGCAGTTCCTTTCATTAAGACATAAAGGGTTCAATGAAGTCACAACCAGAAAACACAGCCAGAAGAATCTGAGAATCATGTTTATTAAACTACAAATGAATAACATTAAATTGTGTATAAAAGAAATTCACAATATCTCCAATCAAGCAAGCAAGATACACACACACAACCGTATTTTGTCAAATCTAAGATGTTATTAATTATAAGATATTTTATAACAAACTATGACAAAAGACCTCAAAATCATTCTGCAAAACATATGAATCAATGCCATCAGTCTATCATTGCTTTGAAAATTATTTTATCCATTCTGAGGGATCTGGCAAATTCTTTCTCCCTGAGTTGCATTGTTTGTCATATAAGAGGCAATTCTTTTGCCTGTACTCAGCAAGAAAATGTAACAACAGTTTCCTTTTCTTGTAAGTATCATCATTTCTCAGGTCCCATAAAGCAGCTGGTTGTTGCTTTGCAAGGAATATGGAATTGCAGTCATGCCTCCAACAATAAATATTTGCTTCCCTGATATGAACTCTATACCCTGCAGCTCTCTTTTGGCACATTTCTGCATATACAATAACTTTTCATTTTAATATCAAACCATAGTGCATACTTTTGAAGATATTTTTAAATGGCAATTATCCTCAACATTATAGTGCAAAGAATGCACTTAAATTGAAGAACAATATATACAGTTATGGCCCAGTGCACACATGTGCAGGAAATGAAAACTACAGTGCGACTTCCACCCAGCTGGCAGCATTGTGAAACACCATTAATTATAAAACACATCCCAATTTTAGAGATATTAAAATGTGGGAGAAACTGTGCCTTGAAATCAATATTGGAATTTATCGAGTACCTATTTTACATTTAGTGTGGAGTCAGGTCTGGGAGAATGAATATAAGTTCAGATTTCTGCCCTCAAGACAATTATCATCTTACTGGAAAAAAAAAAAAAGATGGAACCAAGTAAAGCAGTTAACATACAATGTCAGTCAATGTGCATTAACTTTTAAAAAATTGTATAATACAAATGAGTTTGGGACAGTTCAAAAGAGGGTGATCAGTGAAGGCGGAAGTATTGGCTGTGTTCAATTTAGATGTGTGGAGGGGATGACCATGGTATCTCAGGTTAGGGGATCAGAAAAGAGAGCTCAGCCCTGGCCAATGGCTCAGTTAGTTGGAGCACCGTCCCATGGGGCACATACAGGAGTCAGCCAATAACTACAAAAATGGGTGGAACAACAGATAGACAGATGGATGTTTCTTTCTCTCTCCCTTCTCCTCTCTCTCTATAAAATCAATAAAAAAAAATTACCAAAAAAAAAAAAAGACAGGAGTAGTGCTGAAGACAGTGAGTGGCATAGTGAGTCAGGCGTAAGTGAGAAATGAGGGGTATGACCTGAAAGCCTATGGTGACAGCAATTAGGAGGAGTGGGTGACCAAAATGAAGGAAATCTCAGCATTATATAATTGAAATATCATATTTCAAATTTCACCAGGAATATTTTAATGTGATTTTCCCAAAGAAAGGACATAAATGTTTATTTGTATGTTTTACTATAGTCTTCATTCATTTATTGAGCATCTACTATGAACCAGGCAAAACAAAGCAAACCAAGTCACTTCCCTTCTGGAGCTTAAATGCCAGAAGAGGGACTTAGCCTTGGGAGCATTAGTAGTTCAGCAGCTTTTACTATGTGGTTAAGGAAGGAAGGAAATTAGCAAATGACCGTCAGGTGAACGCACATCTGGTGTTTAAAGTTTTTTATGTCACCACGGTGCTGTAAAATATTGAGCTGAAGTTCGTAATCACTAGTTATAAACATAAATTGTCTGTCTCTGCCCCAATAGAAGTCAGTCAGAAGCTTTTCCTGTTTTCTCTCAATATATTCTCATTCCTTCTCTTTTTCTTTATAGACTGGAAAAAAATCCAGTCTATGGATCCCCATATTTTAAAGTCCTTTCAGAATACATTAAAAAATAACAGAATAGAAAAATAATTTGAACTAGTGCCGAGGCCTGTTGCATACTTCATCCAGTGAATCATGAAGTTTCAATTATAACTCCGAGCAAGATTGTTTGGTATAAGAATAACAGACACTTGTTTGTGTTTTTGAGACAGTCAAATAAGGACAGGAGATTTGCTTCAAATGTATGATGCCTTGATTTCAACTACCCTGTAAGTTATGTGAGTGATCTGGGACCGTAAGTGACAGAGCGAGCGGGCACATCAACCAGGCTAGTCAGACAGGAGGGGGAAATGTTTTGGACATTGTTTTTTAATTTGCTTAATTCCTTTGAAGATGTTGGGGGTCAACACTTTTTAGGGTGCTGGGTTAAAGAAAATTGTGTGTTCTAATTTGGTGAAGGTTTGGTGTGTGATTTTATTTGATTCTACACATTAAAACTTTTAATTACTGCATAAAAGCAAGGCAGGTCTTTTAGTATTTTGTTGATGAGCTTTCCTGTCTGGAAGAATTTCAAGCATGAGTTAATGTGGTGATTAATTTTTGATGCGAGTTAAGAAAAGTTGCTGAGAATGTGAGTGGAAAATAAACTGTCCCATTATTTTAATGGATATATCTGTATTTTATCCTCTGAGGAAATGTATTTAAGAAGGAATACTTTGCTTTTCCTACTTAAGGTGAATTTCAAAATTGGTGGGACAATATCAGAATTATTGGGGAGTTTTTTCAAAATACATAGCTCTTTTTCCCTTAATGTTCCCCTGGGATATCAGTGACAGAAATCTGGACACACCTATTTTTAAAAAGCTTCCCAAATGATTCTAAAATGTCATTTAGTTATGGAACATTGGTTCATTATATGCTAAGTATTGGCACAGAGTGCTAATGGGATTTAGACATAATTTTAAAACATCAAAAATTATAATTTTATTCATTAGGTATTATGTAACTCCTGTCTAGAGCAAATATTAGAGCTTTAGTGTTTTATAAAAATTTACCTTTTGCATTCCTGTCCTAATTTAGAGCTTCATCACTGTCTTTGTGTGTGTGTGCGTGTGTGTGTGTATTTTTCTTTGTAAGTAAAGGCAAGGAAGGGATAATATTTAGGAATCAAAATNCCTTCATGACTGTCTTTGTGTGTGTGTGCGTGTGTGTGTGTGTGTGTGTACTTTTCTTTGTAAGTAAAGGCAAGGAAGGGATAATATTTAGGAATCAAAATAAAAGAGCTGGCAANTAAAAAAGCTGGCAACTGGCCATCCACCACTGGTGACCTGAGTTATGGTATGGGGACAAAGAAAGAGAACATAGCAGCTCTGTAGGTATGTATCTCACTTTAAGGGAGGGATTCTGTTCTCAGGTACTAATTAACAAAGTCAAGGCAAAAAAGTAGATACAGAGGTGGGCAAAGGTAGGTTTATAGTTGTTCATATGGAAAAAGACATGCAGGTTACTTTTGCCCACTCCTGTATGTGTGTGTGTCATATTATATATATATATATCTCCAATGGAAAATTTCCCTGGTTCCCAAAAGCAGAGAGTCTACAAAGTGGCATTGCTCCTGGTGTGCTTTGTGTTTTTTTGAGTTATGATGTAGTCTTATTAAGCCTATGGAGCTGCCAGTTTAACTTTTGTTTTTCTTTTCTTTTCTTTTTTTTTTTTTTTTTTTATAAATATAT